AAAGAACAATCAAACGACTCATCTTTCTGGCGAGACATTTTGATGCGCTGGCCAAGTTGTCGTCTTGGGCGAATCCCGTAGTGGGCGAGTAATCATGCGGTGGTCACGTGGATTCTGTAAAAGAAGGAGAAGGCATATTGTTATCTCAAGCAAGGATAGATTGTTTTGATAGCGTAATATTGTAAAACCTTGAACTATGATGTACAGTTAAGGATGTCCCACCCAAGGGGTACTTCAAGATAAATCTACCCAAACAAATAAGAAAAAATAAAAAATCAGGGAAATAAAACAAGAAAAAAAACAAGGAAAAACATTTAAAACTAAAGAAAAAGATTACAGAAAAAATTAGGAGGAATCACGGAAACCAGATGGTTTACGCCAGCATTCAACACGTTCCTTGCGGCTCAGTTTTTGTGCCTATGATTTATAACATGTGGTAGCGTAACCACATAGAGGTCACGTCGCAGGGAACGGTAAGTAACCCTCGGATTCTGCGCGCGCAACCCCTGCCCCGCGCATCTGCCCTTGTCCTCGCCGCCGAGCCGCGCGTCGCGACCGTGGACCGCCGTGGACATGGAGGGCTGCGGGGCAGCGGGCTCGGGCGACGGAAACGGGCGCGTCAAAAGTTGAGCCGCAGCGCCCGGACCTCGCGCCGCCCGGCCGCGCGGACTCGACACGGAAAAACTTTTATCGACTGGGCGGGGAGGGGGAGGGGGGGTAGAGAACACTGGGGCTGATCGGCGGCCCCGGTACACGTCTTATGGCGCCCGAAAGGTTTTCACGATCGCTTCCGCGCCCTCGCATCGCCCGCCGCGTGGACAACGCCCCGACAACTCTTCGAGCTCCACAAAGAAGTGCGGCGGGGGCCCCGCATGTTCCAGGAGCAACAGCGACCCGGGCATATCGGTCGGGCTGCTGCTGCTGCTACTCCCAGGAGCAGGGAGCAGAGCGAGGGAGGCAGAGGAGGTAGAGAGTGTTGGAGAGAAGAAGGGATGGAGAGGGGGAGGGAGAGAGAGAGGGAGGGAGAGGGGGAGGGAGAGGAGCGAGGGAGGCAGAGGAGGTAGAGAGTGTTGGAGAGAAGAAGGGATGGAGAGGGGGAGGGAGAGAGAGAGGGAGGG